AGGGGGTCCGTGCCCACCCCTGCACCCCCCTGACCACTCCCCACCCCCTCCCCACAGACGTGGCCGTGGGGGCCCCGCTGGGTGCCGATGGACATCGGGGCTCGTGTTCATTTACCGAGGGGGGCTGGGCTGGACCCCAGCCCGCCCAGGTGCTGAGGGGGTGGGGGCACGGCCCCACCCCGACTTCTTCGGGGCCGCCCTGAGAGGGGCACCGACCTGGATGGCAACGGATACCCGGGTGAGGGACCCCCTGCTCTTTGGAACCCCCGGGTGAGGACCCCCTGCTCTTTGGGACCCTCCCGGGTGAGGGACCCTGCTCTTTGGGACCCCTCCCGGGTGAGGGATCCCCCTGCTCTTTGGGACCCCTCCCCGGGTGAGGGACCCCCTGATCTTTGGGACCTCCCGGGTGAGGGACCCCCTCCTGCTCTTTGGGACCCTTCCGGTGAGGGACCTCCCCTGCTCTTTGGGACCCCCCTTGGGACCCCCCTCTGAAATCCCCTTTGGGACCCCTCGGGTGAGGGACCACCCTTTAGGACCCCTTCTGAGATCCCCCTTTGGGACCCCCTTTGGGACCTCCCCTTTGGGACCCCCTTTGGGACCTCCCCTTTGGGACCCCCTCCTTTGGGACCTCCCCTTTGGGACCCCCTCTGGGGAGGAACCCCCTTTGGGACCCCGGGTGAGGGAACCCAGTGACCCCTCAGTCCCCCTGTGTCCCTCACCTTGTCCCTGTGTCCCTCAGTGACCCCCATCTGATCCCCCCGGTGACCTCCCCGTGTCCCCCACCCTTGGTGACCCCCGTGTCCCCCTGTCCTTCTGCCCCTGGTGACCCCCTCGTGTCCCCCCCATCCCCACAGACCTCCTGGTGGGCGCCTTCGGGTCGGACACGCCGTGATTTACAGGTGGGTGTCCCTTTTTTAGGGGGGGGGATCCCAAGGGATGGGGGGGTCCCATGGGGTCCCTGACCCCCCTCCCCCACTGTGTGTTTGTGGTCACCCTCCCCCGCAGGCCGTCCCATCGTCCACGCCGGGGCCATCCTGGGCGTTGTCCCCTCCATGTTCAACCCCGAGGAGCAGGGCTGTGTCCTGGCTCCGTGGCCACCACGTGCCATGGTGGGTGACACCCGGGGGTGGGGGGTCCAGGGCTTGGGGACATCGGGGGGACACGGGGACAACGGTGGGGGACGGTGGGGACAATGGGGAGGGGATGTGGGGACAATGGGGAGGGGACACAGGGGGGCACAGGGCGGGGACAAGGACGCCAGGAGGGGACACTGAGGGGGCTGGGGGCTTGGGGACATGGTGGGGGACACCGGGGGGGACATGGGGACAGTGGGGGACACTGGGGTGTTCCTGGGGACGTGGGGACACCAGGGGGATGTGGGGACACCAGGGGGATATCAGGGAGGTCCAGGGACATGGGGACACTGTGGGGGACGTGGGGACACTGGGGGACACTGGGGGGTGTTCCTGGGGACATGGGGACACTGGGAGGGGGGACACTGGGGGTATCCTGGGGGACATGGGGACACTGGGGGGGTACACTGGGTGTGTTCCTGGGGATGTGGGGACATTGTGGGGGGGACATGGGGACACTGGGAGGGACACTGGGAGGGGACACTGGGTGTCCTGGGGGACATGGGGACACTGGGAGGGGACACTGGGGGTGTCCTGGGGGACATGGGGACACTGGTGCCACCCCCCCGTGTGTGTCCCCAACATCCCCCCAGCATCAACGTCACCTTCTGCCTCAACGCCTCGGGACGGCACCTGCCGGGACCCATCGGTGAGGGGGACAGGGGGACATGGGGGACACATGGGGACACCTAGGGGGATATGGGGGATGGGGGACACTGGGGGGACATTGGGGACACACGGGAGGGGACAGGGCACAAGGGGGATGGGAAGGGGGACACGGGAGGGCGGTTGGGGACAAGGGAGGGATGGGGACAGGGGAGGACACAAAGGGGACACAAAGGGGACAGGGGACACGTGGGGGTCGTGTCCCCGTGTCCCTGACATGTCCCCCCGTGTCCCAGCCCTGGCCGTGGAGCTCACCGTGGACGGGTTGAAGGCGGGGGCGCGGCGGGCGCTGTTCCTGGGGGGAGGGGCCCAGCCGGCCCCTCCCCACCCGCAGCCTCACCCTGCTGGTCCCCAACGGGGGACCCCAGTGCCGCACCCTGCCCGTGTTCCTCAGGGTAGGGGCGGGGCAGGGACCCCAGACACCCCTGGGGACCCCAAACACCCCGGGAACCTCCAGACCCCAAAACGCCGGGGACCCCAAGCACCCCCAGGAACCCTCCAGACCCCCAAACAACCCCGGGGACCCCCAAACACCCCCTGGGGACCCCAAACACCCCTGGGGACCCCAAACACCCCTGGGACCCCAAAACCCCAGAATCACCACCCACCCCCTCGGGATCCCCAGACAACCCCAGGGACCCCAAACACCCCTGGGGACCCCCAACACACCCCAGGGACCCCTCCAGACCCCAAAAACCCCCGGGACCCCCAAACACTCCCCAGGACCCCAAAACTCCAGAGCCACCAACCCCCCTCCCAGGGATCCTCAAAGCCCCTCTGGGGACCCCCAGACAACCCCGGGGACCCCCAGGACCCCCAAAACCCTCTTGGGATCCCCCCCCTCCTTCCCCTTGTCCCCCTGTGTCACCCTTGGGACCCCTCATGTCCCCTCTGTCCCCAGAACGAGTCGGAGTTCCGGGACAAGCTGTCCCCCATCCCGGTGTCCCTGAGCCTGGCCCTGGACCCCCGAGTGCCCCCCGAGCCGCTGGCGCTGCCCCCGCTGCTGGCCCCGAGCGCCCGCACCCGCCTGGAGGCCAAGGTAGCCTGGGACCCCCACCTGTGTCACCTGGGTGTCACCTGTGTCACCTGGGTGTCACCTGGGTCACCTGTGTGTCACCTGGGTCACCTGTGTCATCTGTGTGTCACCTGTGTGTCACCTGTGTGTCACCTGGGTCACCCCTGTGTCACCCACTGTCACCTCCTTGTCACCTGGGTCACCTGTGTCACCTGGGTCACCCCTGTGTGTCACTTCTGTCACCTCCTTGTCACCTCTGTCACCCCATCACCTGTGTCACCTGTGTGTCACCTCCTTGTCACCTGGGTCACCTGGGTCACCTGTGTTACCTCTGTGTCACCTGTGTCACCTGTGTTACCTGTGTCACCTGTGTCACCTGGGTCACCCCTGTGTGTCACCTGGGTCATCTCCTTGTCATACCTGTGTCACCCACTGTCACCTCCTTGTCACCTGTGTCACCTGTGTCACCCCTGTGTGTCATCTGTGTCAACTGGGTCACCTGGGTCACCTCTGTCACCTGTGTCACCTGTGTCACCCCTGTGTGTCACTCATGTCACCTGTGTCACCTGTGTCATGTGTGTCACCTACTTGTCACCTGTGTCACCTGGGTCACTCCTGTGTGTCACCTGTGTCACCTCCTTGTCACCTGTGTCATCTGTGTGTCACCTGTGTGTCATCTGTGTGCCACCCACTGTCACCCCTGTGTCACCCAGTGCTACCCCAGTGCCACTATTGTGCCACCCCCATGTCACCCAGGGTCATCACTGTGTCACTCCCACGTCCTCCCCTGTGTCACCCCAGGGACAGGGCGTCACCCTGTGTCACACGGTGTCCCCATTGCCCCTGTCCCCTCCCTGTCCCCATCCCTGTCCCCTCCCTGTCCCCTCCCTGTCCCCATCCCTGTCCCTGTCCCCTCCCTGTCCCCTCCCTGTCCCCTCCCTGTCCCCTCCAGGCTCACATCCAGCTGGACTGTGGCGAGGACAACGTTTGTGTCCCCGACCTGCACCTCGAGGCCACCGCGTAAGGGGGGACAGGGGGGTCCATCCTGGGGGGGTGCTGAGTGTCCAGGGGGGATTTGGGGGGTCCTATGTCTGTTCTGGGGGTCCCTGGGTGGTTCTGGGGATCCCTGGGGGGGTTCTGGGGTCCCTGGGTGGTTCTGGGGTCCCCAGTTAGTTCTGGGGGTCCCTGGGTGAGTTCTGGGAGTCCCTGGGTAGTTCTGGAGGTCCCTTGGGGGGTTCTGGGGGTCCCCAGTTAGTTCTGGGGTTCCCAGTTAGTTCTGGGGGTCCCTGGGGGGTTCTGGGGGTCCCTGTCTGGCTCTGGGGATCCCTGGCTGGTTCTGGGGCTCCCTGTGGGGTCCCTTGGGGGTTCTGGGGTCCCCCAGTTGGTTCTGGGGGTCCCTGTCTGGCTCTGGAGGTCCTGGGGGGTTCTGGGGTTCCCAGTTAGTTATGGGGGTCCCTGTCTGGCTCTGGGGGTCCCTGGGGGGGTTCTGGGGGTCCCTGTCTGGCTCTGGGGGTCCCTGGGGAGTTCTGGGGGTCCCTGGGGGTCCTAGCTGGTTCTGGGGGTCCCTGGGGGGCTCCGGGGGTCCCTGGCTGGTTCTGGGGGTCCCTGGGAGGTTCTAGGGGTCCCATGTCTGTTCTGGAGTCCCCAGTTGGTTCTGGGGGTGCCTGAGGGGTTCTGGGGTCCCCAGTTAGTTCTGGGGTCCCCCAGTTGGTTCTGGGGGTCCCTGTCTGGCTCTGGGGGCCCCTGGGGGGGTTCTGGGGGTCCCCAGTTAGTTCTGGGGTTCCCAGTTAGTTCTGGGGGTCCCTGGGGGGTTCTGGGGGTCCCTGGGGGACTCTGGGGGTCCCGTGTCATTTCTGGGGGTCCCTGGCTGGTTCTGGGGGTCCCTGAGGGGTTCTGGGATTCCCAGTTAGTTCTGGGGGTCCCTGTCTGGCTCTGAGGGTCCCTGGGGGTTCCAGTTGGTTCTGGGGGTCCCTGGGGAGGTTCTGGGGGTCCTGGGGTGCTCTGGGGTTCCCAGTTAGTTCTGGGGGTCCCTGTCTGGCTCTGGGGGTCCCTGGGGGTTCTGGGGTCCCTGTCTGGCTCTGGGGATCCTGGGGGTTCTGGGGTCCTGGGGGTTCTGGGGTCCCTGTCTGGCTCTGGGGGTGCCGGGGGTGTTGTGGGGGTGGTCCATGTGACCCCTCCCCCGCAGGGACCGTCGGGCGGTGTTTTTGGGGGACCGGAACAGCCTCAACGTGACGTTCCAGGCTCGGAACCAGGGGGAGGGGGGGGCCTACGAGGCCGAGCTGCACGTGCAGCCCCCCCCCGGCGCCCTCTACAGCGGCGTCCTGCGCCCCCACGGGGTCAGGGGGGACACCCCGCGCGTGGGGGTGGGGGCACCCACGGGTGGGGGGACGGGGAAGGACACTGGGTTTGAGGGGAGGGGAGGGAGGGGTCAGGAGTGCCTGGGGGGTTGGGGGTGTCTGAGGAGGACCCCAGGTATGGGGAGGGGGTGGTCCCAGCGTGGGGGTGGGGGACACACAGAGACCCCTCCCACGAGTGTGGGTGGGCTGGGGTCTGCAGGTGAGGGGGTGGGGAGATTGAGGGGGAGCGAGGGGGTATTTAGGGGGTAGAGGGGATCACGGAGGGGTGTCACTCCTTCCCCCCTCAATTTACTCCCCACCCCCACACCCCACAGAACTTCTCAGCCCTGAGCTGCGAGCTCGGGGGCAACGGCTCGAGCCCCCTCGTGTGCGACCTGGGCAACCCCATGAAGGCGGGGGCCAGCGTGAGTTTTTTTGGGGGAGTGTTTTGGGGGTGGGGGAAGGGCCTGAATGACCTCCCCGCCTCCCCTTCCCCCGCAGATCTGGGGGCTGCGCCACCCTCCCCACCTGAGCGACAGCAGCGACAGCGTCCGCCTGAGCTGCAGATCCGCAGGTTCGGGGGAGGGTGGGATTTGGGGAGGGGGTCCAGGGGGATGGGAGGGGGCTGGGGTGCTGGGTTTGGGGGGACCGGGGAATTTGGGACACGGAGTTTTGAGGGGGTGGGGGCGTGGCCAGCCGGTGATGTCCCATCTAGGGAGGGTCCCAAAGGGGGGATCAGGGGGTTCCTGGGGGTCGCGGGCTGTGAAACCCCTCTCCTCCCCCTCCGTGTCGCGCAGTAAGAACGCCAACAACTCGCAGAGCCCCCCGTGTCGGTGGCGCTCGCCGTGAAAGCGGCCACGAGGGTGTCCGTGTTCGGGTGAGTGACACGGGGGTGGGGACATCGCGGGGGTGGGGACATCGCGGGGGAGGGGACACGGCGGGGAGGGGCGGGTCCTGAACCCTGGACCACCTCACCCCACCGAGGTGTCCGTGTTTGGGGTGGGGAGGGGGCACTGGGGGCACCCCCGGGGTGCTGAGCCCTCTGAACCCCCCCAAATGTGTCCCCCCAGGGTGTCCCGGCCTGACGTTGTCACCATCCCCGAGGGGGTGGGGGTCCCGACCTCCCAGCGGCTGCAGGACCTGGGACCACCCGTGGAGCACGTCTATGAGGTGGGGGGTGGGGATGGGGACACACACCAGGGGTCCTCCAGGAATCGCAGCCTGGGGGTCCCCTCGTGTCCCTGACCCCAAAATTCCCTGTGTCCCCCATCCCGGGGGTCCCCTGACCCCAAAATCCCTCGTGTCCCCACCCCAGGGATCCCCAGGAACCCCAGCCTGGGGTCCCTCGTGTCCCCCACCCCGGGGTCCCCTGACCCTCCCCCATGTCCCCAGGTGGTGAACGAGGGTCCCAGTGCCATCAGCGAGGGCACCCTGGAGCTCAGCTGTCCCCTGGGCCACCGGGGCCACCCCCTGCTCTACGTGACCACCCACTCAGGACCCCCCAACTGCTCCTCCAGCCACCCCATGGACCCCCTGGGCCTGGTGGTGGGCACTGGGAGAACTGGGAGAGCTGGGAGAACTGGGAGAGCTGGGAGAACTGGGAATCAGAGCGCTGGGACAGGGGGGGACACTGGGGACAGCGAGTGGCACTGGGAGATGGGGGGCACTGGAGGGGGGGGATGGGACATGGGGGCACTGGGAGCACTGGGAAATGGAGGACTGGGGACACTGGAGACACTGGGAGATGGAGGACTGGGGACACTGGGGACACTGGGAGATGGGGCACTGGGTGGCACTGGGGACAGAGGGGACACTGGGACATGGGGCACTGGGTGGCACTGGGTGGCACTGGAGGACAGGGGAGACACTGGGGACATCATGTGGCACTGAGGACATTGGGTGGCACTGGAAAATGGGGCACTGGGAGCACTGGGCAGTGCTGGGGACAGGGGGGACACTGGAGGACAAGGGGGACACTGGGGACATTGGGTGGCACTGGAAAATGGGGCACTGGGGGCACTGGGCAGTGCTGGGGACGCTGGGTGGCACTGGGGACACCGGGTGATGGAGGCCTGGGACCGCACTGGGTGGCACTGGGGGTGGCAGGGGACAGGACTGTCCCCAGAGCTGACCCCCCCATCCAATGTCCCCCCCCCCAGGAGCAGGAGCAGAGCCCCGAGAGCCACGTCCTGCAGCGCCGGGACACGGGGGACAGTGGGGACAGCGGGGACAGGAGGGACAGGAGGGACACGGGGGACAGCCTGGTGAGTGCCCACCCACCTGTCCCCAAGGCAGGGGACACGGGGAGGGAGGTGGGGTGGGGGTGTCCCCATCCTGGGTGACACAGGAGGGGGTGACACTGCTGGGGGTGACCCCCCGGGCTGGTGTCCCCACCCTGGGTGACACGAGGAGGGGGTGACACTGCTATGGGTGACCCCCTGGGATGGTGTCCCCACCCTGGGTGACACGGGGAGGGGGTGACACTGACACAGGAGGGGGTGACACTGCTATGGGTGACCCCCTGGGCTGGTGTCCCCACCCTGGGTGACACTGGGGGATCCCGGGGGGGGGTCCCCAGGGGTGCCCCGAGCCCGAGTGTTTCCGGCTGAGCTGCCCCACGGGGGGGCTGGAGCGGCAGCAGAGGGTCAGTCTGCGCCTCAGCTTCCACCTCAGGACCCCCCCCCTGCGCCAGGTGAGACCCCCAGACCCCCTTGACCCCCCTTGACCCCCCTGACCTCCCTGACCTCCCCTGGGACCCCCAGAACCTCCCGCGGATCCCCCCTGGGACCCCCAGAACCTCCCCGGGATCCTGAGATCCCCCCTGGGACACCCCTGGGATCCCCCAGAAGCCCCTCCAGGACCACCCAGAACCCCGGGGGTGTCCTTGGGTGTCCCTGTGGGTGTTCCTGGCTGTCCCTGGTGCCCCGTGGGTGCCCCTCTGGTGTCCCTGTGGGTGTCCCTGGGTGGCCCTGTGGGTGCCCTCTTGGTGTCCCTGGTGCCCTCTTGGTGTCCCTGGTGCCCCTGGGTGTCCCTGTGGGTGTCCCTGGATGTCCCTGGATGTCCTTGGGTGTCCCTGACTATCCTTGCGGGTGCCCCTCTGGTGCCCCTGGGTGTCCCTGTCTGTCCCTGTGGGTGTCCCTGTCTGTCCCTGTCTGTCCCTGGGTGTCCCTGGGTGTCCCTGTGGGTGCCCTCTTGGTGTCCCTGGTGCCCTCTGGGTGTCCCTGGGTGTCCCTGGTGCCCCGTGGGTGCCCCTCTGGGTGTCCCTGTGGGTGTCCTGTGGGTGTCCCTGCATGTCCCTGGTGTCCTGTGGGTGTCCCTGGCTGTCCCTATGGGTGTCCCTGGGTGTCCCTGTGGGTGCCCTCTTAGTGTCCATGGTGCCCCCTGGGTATCCCTGTCTGTCCCTGGGTGTCCCTGGCTGTCCCTGTGGGTGTCACTGGGTGTCCCTGACTATCCTTGTCGGTGTCCCTGGTTGTCCCTGTGGGTGTCCCTGTCTGTCCTTGTGGGTGTCCCTGGTGCCCCGTGGGTGCCCCTCTGTTGCCCCATGGGTGTCCCTGTCTGTCCCGGGATGTCCCTGGGTGTCCCTGACTATCCTTGTGGGTGTCCCTGGTGCCCTGTGGGTGTCCCTGGTGCCCCGTGGGTGTCCCTGGGTGTCCCTGGATGTCCCTGTGGGTGTCCCTGGCTGTCCCTGGTGCCCCGTGGGTGTCCCTGTGGGTGTCCCTGTGGGTGTCCCTGGGTGTCCCTGGGTGCCCTGTGGGTGCCCCTCTGATGCCCCTGGGTGTCCCTGTCTATCCCTGTGGGTGTCCCTGGTGCCCGTGGGTGTCCCTGTGGGTGCCCCTGGGTGTCCCTGGTGCCCCGTGGGTGCCCCTCTGGTCCCCCTGCCCCCCCTGCCCCCCCGTGGGTGCTGATGGGGGGGTCCCAGCGGGAGGTCCGGGCTCAGACCCTGCGCTGTGAGGCCGAATTTCGGGTGAGGAGACTCCCGTACCGGATCCAGCCCGAGCGGCTGCCCCGGCACCGCCTGCAGGTGGGACACGGGGGGGACAGGGGGGACATGGGGACACTGGGGACACTGGGAGGGACATGGGGACACTGGGGACACTGGGAGGGACATGGGGACACAGGGAGGGACACTGGGGGGGACTTTGAGGACATGGGGGGACAGGGGACACGCAGGAAAAGAGGGGACAGGGAACATGGGGGGGACACACACAGGGGACACAGAAGGGGACATGGGGACACAGGGGGGACACTGAGTGACACTGTGGGTGACACTGTGGGTGACCCTGGGTGACAGTGACTGACTCTGGGTGACAGTGGGTGACTGTGGGTGGCACTGGGTGACAGTGGGTGACACCATGACACTGTGGGTGACAGTGGGTGACAGTGTGTGGCACTGGGTGGCACTGGGCGACCCTGGGTGACAGTGGGTGACTGTGGGTGGCACTGGGCGACCCTGGGTGACAGTGGGTGACTGTGGGTGGCACTGGGTGACACTGGGTGACCCCGGGTGACCCCGTGCCACCGTCCCTGTCCCCGCAGGTGGTGACAGGCCTGGCGTGGGCGCGGCCCGAGGCCGGAGGGGGTCCCGGTGTGGGTGGTGGTCCTGGCCGTGCTCCTGGGGCTGCTGCTGCTCGCCCTGCTCTGCTACGGCCTCTACAAGGTGGGGCTGGGGGCTGGGGGGTCTGGGGGTCAGGGGAGTTGGGGGTCAGGAGGGGCTCTGCCATGGCCTCCAGAATGGGGGTGGGTGGGGTGGGTGAGGGGTCCTGGGGTCTGGGGGGTGATGGGGGAGTGATGGGGGGTGATGGGGGCCTTTTGGGGCACGTGGAGGACATGGAGGTGGGGGGCACAGGGCAGGGGGATCACTCTGGGGGCACAGAGGGCACAGGACAGGGGTGCCAAGGCTGGGGGTGGTTTGGGGGTCCCCTGACTCCCTCATTTCCCCCAGCTGGGATTCTTCAAGCGCTCGGGGCCCTACGGCACCGCCATGGAGAAGGCCCAGCTCAAACCCCAGGCGGCCTCCGAGGCCTGAGGGGGCCCCCAACGCCAGGGGGGACCCCCCCAGGAGGGCAGGGGAGACCCCCCAGGGCTGGGGACAGGCAGGGGAGACCCCCCTCACCCCACCCACCCACACACCCACACCCACACACACACAAGGACTGTGTCACCTGTGTCACCTGCACCATCGGGGACACCCCCAGGGCTGGGGACCCCCCGACGAGGACGGTGGCACCTGAGTGGCTGGGGACCCCCCCACACTGATGGGGACCCCCCTACACTGATGGGGGCCCCCCCAACAAGGACAGCATCACCTGCATGGCTGGGGATCCCCCCACATTGCTGGGGACCCCCCCAACAAGGACAGTGTCACCTGCATGGCTGGGGACACCCCTGGGGCTGGAGACCCCCCACAAGCAGCCTGGGGACCCCCCCAACACTGCTGGGGACCCCCCCAACAAGGACGGTGTCACCTGCATGGCTGAGGACCCCCCAACACTGCTGGGGACCCCCCCTCACTGCTGGGGACCCCCCAACACTGACAGTGCCACCGGCACCACGGGGGACCCCCGCATTTCTGGGGACCCCCACACACGGACAGGGACCCCCAATGCTGGGGACCCCCCCAACAAGGACAGTGTCACCTGCACCGCCGGGGACCCCCACGTGGAAAGGGCCCCCCACCCCACCAGCAACTGCCACACTGGTGGTGGCACCTGCATGGCTGGTGTCACCTGCACCGGTGTCACCCGCCCGGTTGGGGACCCCCACAGTGCCCACAGCGGGCACCGGGGCTGGCACCACCAGACTGGGAACCACCGGAGTGGGAACCAGACTGGGAATCACCAGACTGGGAACAACCAACTGGGAATCACCAGAGTGGGAACAACCAGACCGGGAACAACCAACTGGGAACCACCAGACTGGGAACAACCAGACTGGGAATAACCAGACTGGGAACAACCAGACTGGGAACAACCAACTGGGAGTCACCAGACCGGGAATAACCAGACTGGGAACAACCAACTGGGAACCACCAGACTGGGAACAACCAGACTGGGAACAACCAACTGGGAACAACCAGAATGGGAACAACCAACTGGGAACCACCAGACTGGGAACCACCAACTGGGAACAACCAGAATGGAACCAACCAACTGGGAGTCACCAGACTGGGAACAACCAACTGGGAACAACCAGACTGGGAACAACCAGACTGGGAACCACCAGACCGGGAATCACCAGACTGGGAACCACCGGAGTGGGAACCAGACTGGGAATCGCCAGACTGGGAACAACCAGAATGGGAATCACCAGACTGGGAACAACCAGACTGGGAACAACCAGACTGGGAACCACCAGCATGGCCACGACCACCGGACTGGGAACCACCGGAGTGGGAACCACCAGAGTGGGAACCAGACTGGGAATCACCAGAGTGGGAACAACCAACTGGGAACCACCAGACTGGGAACAACCAGATCGGGAATCACCAGACTGGGAACCACCAGCATGGCCACGACCACCAGACTGGGAACCACTGGAGTGGGAACCACCAGAGTGGGAACAACCAACTGGGAACCACCGGAGTGGGAACCACCAGCATGGCCACAACCACCGGACTGGGAACCACCCAACAGGGAAACACCGTAACAGGAATCACCAGTGGACGGGGAACTGCTGGACTGGGAATCACCCTCGGACTGGGAATCAGCCCCGGACTGGGAACCACCGGCACAGGGGGTGACACCGAGCCGGGCACCGATGGGCTGGACATGGGCACTGGGACACAACCAGGACACAGCCAGGATGGCTCTGGGACACCAGGACACTTCCAGGCCCCCCCCTTGGGGACACCTCTGGGACACCCACGGTGCCACCCACCCAGTGCTGGTGTCCCTGGGTGCTGGTGTCACCCGCTGTCACCTCGGGCTGTCACTCAGTGTGTGTCCCCCCTGCACTGCCCGTGCCTCCCGTGGGCACCTCACTTTGCACTGACCCCACGCCCCAAATTTGGGGGGACACACAGACACGCTCACACAACCCCCCACGTCCCCAGGGTGTCCTCAGTGTCCCCAGCAGGGGGTTTGCACTACATGAGGGGGATTTGGGGAGGGGCACAGGCGGGGGGAGGGCGGCTTCGGTTTGTATTTAATTTGGGGAGGGGGCGACCTCGGGGCCCCCCAATAAACGTGTCTGACCCAGAGCTGGGGGTGACGGGCACGGGGGGGGTCACATACGTGTGCCAGGGGGGGTCACACACGTGTGCCAGGGGGTCACACGGGATCCCACCCGTGTGCCAGGCGGTCATGGCCCGGTGCCCACGGGCACTGCCCGGGGCTCAATTACACCTCATTAGCAGCTGGGACAGCATCGGGGGCATCAATAATTCATCCCCCCCCCTCCTCCCTCAACGGTGAGGGGGGGCCCCGGTGCCCACAGAACACACAGAACCCCCCCCAAACCCATAGAACCACAGAGCCCCCACAGAACACACAGAACCCCCCCCAAACCCATAGAACCCACAGAGCCCCACAGAGCCCCCGAACCCCCTCAACACCCCCAGCACCCCCAAACCCATAGAACCCCCCAAATCCACAGAGCCCCCAGAACCCCTCAGCACCCCAGCAGCCCCCAACCCATAGAACCCCTCAAATCCACAGAACCCCCTGAACCCCTCAACACCCTCAGAGCACCCCCAAACTCCACAGAACCCCCAAACACTGAGACCTCCCAAATCCACAGAACCCCCAGCACCCCAGAGCCCTCCCAGAGCCCACCCAACACCTCAGAGCCCCCCGGACAGAAAGACGCTCCTCCCACCCCCTTTCCACGCGGGAAGGGCCTGTAAGTTTGGGAGGGGCCAAGGGAACTTCGGGGAGGGGTCTGCCCACTCGTGGTCGCTGTCAGTGGGAGAGGGGGTCGTTCTGTGTGTGTCTCCCCGTTCCTCCCCCGCGTTTCCCATGGCAACCACGCCCTCCCCTCCCCGCGTGGGCGTCCCCTCCCTCCCCAAATCCGCGCCCCGCCCCCGCCCCACGCGTGTCGCGACACGTGCGCGCCCCCGCCCGCCGCGCAACGCGTGGGGCGGGGAGCGAACTACGCCGAGGACGCGCGTGGACGGGGCCGCCGCACGTGAGCGATTTTGGGAGCGGGAGGGGGAAGCACCTAAAAACCCTTTTGGGGAGGGGGTGGGAGTCGAGGGGGAACACGCGTGGGGGCGACACGAGGGCGGTCCCTTCTTCTCCTCCCCCTCTTAATCACCCCCGTGTCCCAGTTCTGCGCGGCGCCATTGGCTGCGCGGGGAGAGGGGGAACACGGGGGGGCACATGGGGAGGGGACACGCGGGGAGTGGGGGACACGCAGGGACAGCCCCCACCGGGCCGCCAACGCCGCCACCGGGGCCGGGGGGCCCTGCAGGTAACGAACCCCCCTCCCCCGCTTTAAACGCGTGTCTGGGACCCCCTCACTCAACCCGGGGTGGGGGCAGATTTGGGGGTCCTGGAGGTCTCAGGCCCCCAGGTAACTCATCCCCCATCCCCCCATCTCCCGGTGCGGTTCGCGGGGGGACACGGGGATTTGGTGGGGCTTGGGGGGGTGAGTGGTGATTGCAGGATCTGGGGGGTCCCGGGGGTCCTGGGGGGTCTCAGTGCCCCTGCCCCCTCAGGTAACTCTCGCCCTCCTCCCCGTGGTGAGGCCTGGGGACCCCGGGAAGGAGCCGGGGATCTGAGGGGGCGAAGCGGAGGATTGGGGGTCTGGGGGCTACCCTGGGGGCTACCAGGGCTTACAGAGGAGTCCTGGGGGTCCTGATGCCCCCAGGTAACTCCCCGGGTTGAGGGCTGGCATGGGATGGAGCAGCGCCCGGCGGGTAAGTTGGGGTTTATCCCGGGTGGTCGCGGCCCTGCTGACCCCCTGTGTGTCCCCCTCCCCAAAGGGCGATGCTGCGGGCCCCGGGGCCGCTGGGGCCCCCGGCCGCCTCCTCCTGCCCGGCCCCGCCGCGGCCGCCGCCGCCTCCGCCTGCTGCCGCCGCTGCCCGGGGTGAGCCGGGGGTCCTCGAGGGGTCTCAGGGGGTCCTGGGGCGTTTCAGGACTAGGGGGCTCAGGGGGTTCGGGGGCACCGGTACAGGAGGAGTTGGGGGTCCCCGCTGCTGCCGCCGCTGCCCGGGAGAGGCAGGGGGGGTCCTGGGGGGTCCTAGGGGTCCTGGGGAGGATCAGGGGGTCTGGGGGGTCAGGGGTCCTGGGGGGTTTCAGGACTAAGGGGGCTCAGGGGGTTCGGGGGCATCGGCACTGGAGGAGTTCGGGGTCCCGTGCTGCTGCTGCCGCCGCTGCCCCGGGAGAGGCAGGAGGGTCCTGGGGGTCCAGGGGTCCTGGGAGGGATCAGGGGTCCTGGGGGGCTCGGGGGGTTTCGGGGGCGTTCTGGACCGGGAGGCTAGGGGGTTCGGGGGCACCGGTACAGGAGGAGTTCGGGGGTCCCCGCTGCTGCCGCCGCTGCCCCGGGAGAGGCGGGAGGTCCTAGGGTGTCCTGGGGAGGGATCGGGGTCCTGGGGGCGTCCCAGGGGGTCCTGTGAGGCTCAGGACCGAGGGGGCTCAGAGGGGTTCGAGGGGCACCAGGAGGGTCCCAGGACTGGAGGATTCAGGGAGGACTTGGGGGGAGGGGTCCTGGACCGGGGAGGATCGGGGGGTCCCGGTTGCTGCCGCCGCTGCCCCCGGGGAGGGGGTGGTCCTGGGGGAGAATTTGGGGGTCTCGGCACCGGAGAGGGCTCCGGGATGAGCCAGGCCGAGGGTCCCAGGAGTTCCTGGGGGGTTGTCTGGGGACCGGGAGGGTTCTGGGGGGGTCCGGGACTGGAGGAGTTCAGGGGGACCGGGAGGGGTCCCGCGATCGAGGGTGGTCAGGGGGAGTGTCTAGGAGGGTCCCAGGGGTGTTTGGGGGTCCCCAGGGGTGTTTGGGGTCCCGGGACCCGGGGGGTCCCGCAGGTTTCGCTTTGGTGGCCACGAGGGGGTCGCGCAGGGTCCCACGGGGGTGGAGGGGGTGGGAGGGGGCGGGGCCGCCCCTGCCCTCCCGGCCGCCATGCCGAGACCCCCTCCGCCACCACCGGGGGTGTGGGGACCCCCAAACCCTCCAGGGTGGGACCCCGGGACCCCTAATGCCGAGACCCCGGGATTGCCGAGGGGTAACGGGAGGGGGGTGGGAAACCCCGAACCCCCATAAAGGACCCTGAGACCCCAAAACCTCCCTCGAGGAGAGTCCCGGCTGCTCTGGAGTGGGGAAAGGGGGCTTGATTTTGGGGGGGGCCATTCCCGGTCCCCTCCCGGTCCCGCGGGTTTGGGCAGGGACGGATTCCTGAGGAGCTACGGAATGGGCGGGGGTGGGGGTGGGGAATGACGGCACCGCCCTCTGCTCTAACAGCCCCCAGGGGACCCCAAATCCCTGCTGATCCCCCAGCCACCCAGGGGACCCCCAAATCGCTGCTGACACCCTCAGTCCCCCGTAGGACCCCCTCAGATGGAACCGGTGCCCGAGGGGATGTTTGGGGGGGGGGTTGTTTAGGGTATTTTTGGGGTGCAGGGGGGCTGTTTTGGGGTGCAAGGGATGTTTTGGGGTGCAGGGTAGTATATTGGGGTGTAGGGGGCATTTTGGGCTGCAGAAAGCTTATTTTGGGTGCAGAGGGCGTTTTGGGGTGCAGGGAGGTTATTTTGGGGTGCAGGGGATGTTTTGGGTGCAGAGGGGCTGTTTTGGGGTGCAGGAGAGGTTATTTTGGGGTGCAGGGGATGTTTTGGGTGCAGGGTGGTATATTGGGGTGTAGGGGGCATTTTGGGCTGCAGAAAGCTTATTTTGGGTGCAGAGGGCGTTTTGGGGTGCAGGGAGGTTATTTTGGGGTACAGGGGATGTTTTGGGGTGCAGGGAGGTTATTTTGGGGCGCAGGGGATGTTTTAGGGGCTCAGAGGGGTTATTTGGGGCATAGGGGCGTTTTGGGGAGCAGGGGAGATTGTGAAGGCGCTGGGGGTATTTCAGGGTTCGGGGGTGTATTTTGGGTTGCTGACCCCCTTTTCCCCTCCCCAAAAAAGATGGAGCCGGTGCCCAAGGGGGTCCTGGGGGCTCTGGCCAAGCCCCGGCGCCCGGTGATCGCCTGCAGCGTCTGCCAGATCCGCTTCAACTCCGAGGTGAGACACCCCCCCAGCACCCACCCCCCACCCCCCCAGGGCACCTGGGACCTGTCCCTGTCCCCAGGGGTGACGCTGTCCCTGTCCCCAGAGCCAGGCAGCCGCTCACTACCAGGGCAACCGCCACGCCCGCCGCCTCAAGGGCTCGAGGCCGCCCGTGCCCGCCAGGGGCGACCCGAGGGACCCCGGACCCCCGGGCCCACCCCCGCCCCCAGCCCGGCAGGGAGACCCTGAGCGCTCAGGTGGGTGTTGGGACCCCTCTTGTCCCCTCCTACCTGTCCCCCTCTTCCCATTGCCCCCCCCCATAAGCCCCCTGTGCTCCCTCATAAACCCCACCTTGTGTCCCCCACATCCCCTCAGAAACACCCCCATAACCCCTCACTCTCCCCTGCCCCCACTCCCCAATTCACCCACAACCCCCTAGAGCCCCATTTCCTCCCCAAAGCCCCTCCTTGACCCCCCCACCCCATCCTCCACCCCCAAGGAGCAACCCCTAAAGCTCCCCTGACACCAAAGGCCCCTGACCACCCCGTGTCCCATCCCAGGGAGCAGCCCCAAAGACCCCTGACCACCTGAGCCTCCAAGACCTCCCTGACCCCCAGGAGCAGCCTAAAGACCCCCTGAGCCTCCTCAAGCCCCTGACCTCAAAGCCCACCCAAAATCCCCCACTGAGCTCCCTCAAAGCCCCCTCTAAACCCTCATGTCCCCCTCCCAGGGAGCAGCCCCCAAAGACCCCCTGACCCCCATGTCCCCCCCAGAGCAACTCAAGCTGACACCCCCAATTCCCCTCCCCAAGCCCTGAACCCCAAAATCCCCAACTGACCCCATGTATCCCCCCAGGAGCAGCCTCAAAGCCCCCAGACACCTAAAGCCCCCCCTGACCCACTGAGCCCCCAAAGCTCCCCAAATCCCCCTGACCCCCATGTCCCCCTGGGGATCACCCCCGCCCCACCGCCCAGGCGCCCAGCCTCCCTCTCCCCAGCCCCCATCGTCTGGGGGGTCAGGAGGAGGCAGGGGGGCACGGGAGAGAGGGCCGAGAGGCCGAGGAGGAGGAGGAGGAGGAGAAGGCCAAGGCCAAGAGGCTCCTTTACTGCGGCCTCTGCAAGGTGGCCGTCAACTCCCTGTCCCAGCTGGAGGCCCATAACAAAGGTGGGGGGCACGGGGGGGACATTGGAGAGTCACAGGGGACATTGGGGGTCACAGAGGACAAGGGGGACAGGTTTGAGTGGGGAGGAAGGGGACACAGGGACACTGGAGGGTGGGAGGGGTCTGGGGGACAAGGGGACACCGGGGGGGTTCTCTGGGTGGTGGGGGTGACCTGGGGGTCTCGGGAGTGGCTCTGGTGGGTCTCAGAGTGGTCTCAGAGTCGGGTCTCTGGGTTGGGGGGTCTCAGGGGGTGGTCTGTGGGTCGAGGGGTTGGGCTCAGGGGGGGTCTCAGGGGGTGGTCTCAGGGGTCTGTGGGTGGTCTCTGGGTCTCAGGGGGTGGTCTCTGGGTGGGGGATCTCAGGGGTCTCTGGGTGTCAGGGGGTCTCAGGGGGTGGTCTGTGGGTTGGGGAGGGGGTCTCGGTCAGGGTTGGGGGGCTCAGGAGGGGTGGTCTCAGGGTCCAGGGGGTCTCGGGGGAGGTGGTCTCTGGGTCAGGGGGTGGTCTCGTGGGTTGTGGGGGGTCTCTGGGTTGGGGTTGGTCTCGGAGGGGGGTGGTCTCAGGATCAGAGTGACCCCGGTGCCCCCATGTCCCCCACCAGGGACAAAGCACAAGACCCTGGTCGAGGCCCGCTCGGGGCTGGGGCCCATCCGGGCCTTCCCCGGGGAGGGGCTCTGGGAGGACCCCGGCCGAGACCCCGAGCGCTCCTTCCACTGCCAGATCTGCAACGTGCGCCTCAACTCCGAGCTGCAGCTCAAGCAGGTGGGCACCCCCAAATCCCACCCTGGGACCCCAAAAATCCAACCAGAGACCTCCAAATCCCACCCTGGGACCCCCTAAATCCCCACCCTAGGGACCCCCAAAATCCCACCCTAGAGACCCCCAAAATCCCACCCTGGGATCCCCAAATCCCAACCACAGGATCCCCAAAATCCACCTAGGACCCCCAAATCCCCACCCTGGGACCCCCAAATCCCACCCTGGGATCCCCAAAATCCCACCCAGAGACCCCCAAATCCCTACCCTGGGATCCCCCCAAAATCCCACCCTGGGATCCCACCCCAAATCCCACCCTGGCACCCCCCAAATCACCCTGGGATCCTCACCCTGGCCAACCCTGGGACCCCAAATCCCACCCAGGGACCCCAAAATCCACACCAACATGGGACCCCCAAAATCCCACCTGGGACCCCAAATCCCACCCGGGACCCCCAAATCCCACCTGGGATCCCCAAATCCCACCTGGGAACCCCCAAATCCCACCTGGGAACCCCCAAATCCCACCTGGGACACCCCCAAAATCCCATCCTGAGAACCCCAAACCCACCCAGGGACCACCGAAATCCCCTCAGGAACCCCCCTGGGACCCCAAACACACCCCTGGGGACCCCAGGAACCTCAATCCCACCCAGAGACCCCATAATCCCACCCAGGGACCCCAAAATCCCAACCAGGAACCCCCAAATCCCAACCAGGGACCCCCAAAATCCCACCCAAGGACCCCCAAAATCCCACCCAGGGACCCCCAAACCCCCCCAGGGGCTTTCAAACCCACCTGAGCTCCCCCACAGCCCCGGGGGGTCAGGGGTGTCCCCCAGCATGGGGGTTCAGGGGTGTCCCCCAAGCCAGGGGGTCCCTCTGAGCCCCCCATGTCCCCCCCAGCACATTTCCAGCCGGAGGCACCGGGACGGGGTGGCCGGAAAACCAAACCCCCTCCTGGGGAGGCACAAGAAGCCCCGGAGCCCCCCCGAGCTGGTGGGGAAATGGGGAGGAGGGTCCTAGTGGGGTGGGGAGGGGGCTTGGGGGCATCTCTGGGGGCCCTGGGGAGGCTTTGTGGGGAGCGGGGATTGGGGGTATTTATGAGGGTCCCTGTAGGGTTGGGGGAGGGATTTGAGGGGAGGAGCCCAGCGGTGGGGGGGACTTGGGGGATTTGGGGAGGGGCTCCTGTAGGGTGTGGGGGCCCATAGGGCTGGGGGCTGAGGGGGTGGGGTCCCTAGGCTGGGGAGGCATAGGGTTGGGGGCTGAGGGTCCCCAAGGGCTGGGGGTCCCTGTGGGGTTGGGGGTCCCATGGGATGGGGGGCTGAGGGGGTGGGGTCCCTATAGGGCTGGGGGCTGAGGGTCCCTATAGGCTGGGGGTCCCTATGGGGTTGGGGGTGTCCCCTAGGGCTGGGGCTGGGAGGGCTGGGGCTGAGGGTCCCTATGGGGTTGTGGGGGTCCCTATAGGGCTGGGGGTGCTGAGGGGGTGGTGGTCCCTACAGGGCTGTGGGTCCCTATGGGGCTGGGGGTCCCATAGGGCTGGGAGGGCTGGGGAGGCTGAGGGTCCTGCTGTGGGTGGTGGTCCCTATAGGGCTGGGGGGGCTGAGCAGGGTGGGGGTCTCTGTGGGGCTGGGGGGCTCAGAGTTCCTATAGGGCTGGGGTCCCTGTGGGTTGGGGGTGTCCCATAGGGCTGGGGGCTGGGAGGTTTGGGGCTGAGGGTCCCTATTGGGGTTGGGGTCCCATAGGGTTGGGGGTCCTGAGCAGGGTGAGGGTCTTTATAGGGCTGGGGTTGCTGAGGGGGCTGGGGGTCTCTATAGGGCTGGGGGTCCCTGTGGGATTAGGGGTTCCCATAGGGCTGGGGGGCTGGGAGGTTTGGGGGGCTGAGGGTCCCTATGGGGTTGTGGGGGTCCCTATGGGCTGGGGGTGCTGAGGGGTGGTGGTCCCTATGGGCTGGGGGTGCTGAAGGGTGGGGGCCTATAGTGCTGGGGTCCCTATAGTGCTGGGGGTCTCTATAGTGCTGGGGGTGGTCCCAGCTCTTTGAGGTCGCCCCACCCCTCACCCCCTGCTTTGCCCCCAGGCTCCGCTGCCGTTCCCGAAGGAGCTGCCCAAGGCTCTGGCAGGGGCTCCTCCCACCCCCTGGCCCTCGCGCGCCGCCGCCGCCGCATGGCCGCCCCCTGGCCCTGCGACCCCCGGACCCCCCTCCTGCCCGGGCCCCCTGGCCCCCGCCCTGCTCCGCCCCGCCCCGGCCCCCTGCGCCCGCACACGCCCCCTGCTCTTCTCCCCATACTGGCCCCCCAGAGACCCCCACACCATGGGAGAGACCCCCAACCCGGGAGAGACCCCCATGGGAGAGACCCCCCAGACCCAGGAGAGACCCGCCCACCATGGGAGAGACCCCTCCTTGGGGAGAGACCCCCTAGACCCAGGAGAGACCCCCAGCATGGGAGAGACCCTCACAGTGGGGAGAGACCCCCACCATGAGGAGAGACCCCCCAGACCTGGGAGAGACCCCCAGACCCAGGAGAGACCCCAGACCCGGGAGAGACCTCGCCTTGGGGAGAGACCCCTCACAGTGGGGAGAGACCCCCCCACCATGGGGAGAGACCCCCCCCACCATGGGAGAGACCCCCCCATGGGGAGAGACCCCCAGACCCAGGAGAGACCCCCAACCCCAAGAGAGACCCCCCCAGATCCAGGAGAGACCCCCAGACCTGGGAGAGACCTCCCCTTGGGGAGAGACCCCCCCCAACCAACCCCAGGAATGACCCCCAGAAGCAACAACACCCCCCAAGGAAACCCCCCCGGGAACAACCCCTGGAACAACAACAACACCACCCTCTGGGAACAACCCCCCATGGGGACACCCCCAGCTACAGCAACTGGAAACAACCCCCTGGAACAACAACCTGGAACAACAACCTGGGACAACCACCTGGAACAGCAACCTGGGACAACAACCCCCCTGGAACAACCACCAAGCACCTGGGAACAACTGGAGCCCCCAGAACAACCCCCTGGGAACAAAAACCCCTGGAAAAATCCCTGGAACAACCCCGGGGGAGCAACAACCCCCTCCAGGAACAACAACTGGAGCTTCACAACAACCCCCTGGAAACAACAGCCTGCAACAACAACTCTTCAGGAGCAACAACCAAGCCCCCTGGCAACAACTGGAGCCCCAAAACAACCCCTGGAACAACAACACCACCCCTTCCCCCCGGGAACAACAACCAGGAACAACGGGAAACAACCGGCAACAACCCTGCTGGGTCCACTGTCACCATGGCAACGGTCACCTGGGAGCCACCATCACCCAGGAATTCCCCCCCAGCAACTGCTACCTGGCAATGCTTAATTAACAACTACAATCAGCAACTGCTGACGGTGGTGATGTCACCTGGTGATGTCACCCGGTGATGTCACCCAGTGATGTCACCTGGTGATGTCAGCGGTCACCTGGCAACGGGGACCCCCCCCCCAACCCTGCCTGGCAACACAATCTGCATCCTGCTTGACAACGGTTGCCTGGCAACAGGCCCCTCCCCCCCGCCTGGCAACCAGCAATTTACCGCCCCTGGCAACGGTTGCCTGGCAACAACAACACCCCCCCCCATCACCCCCCCAGCAACCACCATCAGCAACCATCTGCACGTGGCAACCGTCTCTTAGCAACCATCTCCTGGCAACCATCCCCTCTCCCCTCCCCACCCTCCCCTCCCCCTTTTCCGGGCTCAGCGATATTTTATTTTTTTAACTGGAATTTTTGGGAGATTTGGCAGGAAAAACAAAACGAAAACAACGAGCCCCTCCCTCCCCCACTGCACAAACCCCCTCACGGGGGTGGGGGTCTCAGTGCCCCCTCCTCTTTAACCACCCCCTCCCAGCACCTCAGGGATCTGCTCAGCAATCAGTGATGGCTCGAGGATGGGACCCCCCCTCCTCACTCCCCCTCCCCAAATCCCTGGGACCTCCCAAGCCATGAGCTCTTGCACTGAGGGCAGCGAGCCCACGCACACCCCTGGGGCCCCCATCAACACCCCCAAACCCCCACCTTTGGGCCCAGCCCTTTGCAATAATGTGGGGGTGGGGCACCCCCTGTAAATAACAGCCCTCCCTCTCGCCCCACAAGCACTGTGCCCCCTCCCCAGCACTGTGACCCCTCCCCAAAATAAAACACCCTGCATACCCCTCAAAAATCCTGCACAGCCCCTCCCCCAAAAAACCTGCACACCCCCACCCCAACATTGGTACTGCCCAGGGCCCCCAGCACTGTGACCCCCAAAAAAACCTGCACCCCCAGCACTGTGACCCCCTCCAAAATCTGCACCCCCATCACTGTGACCCCCAAAATCCCTGCACCCCCATCCTTAAACACCCCCAAAACCTGACACCCCCAAATCTTTCACCCCCATCACTGTGACACTCCCAAAATCCTGCACCCCCAAATCTTGCACCCCCATCCTTAAACCCCCCAAAATCCCTGCACCCCCATCCTTAAACAATCCCCCAAAAACCTGAACCTCCCCAAAACCTGCACCCCCCATCACTGTGACCCCCCAAAATCCTTGGTACTGCCCCCCACCCCCAAACCCTGCACCCCCTCACTGTGCCCCCCAAAAACTCAGCACTGACCCCCAATCACTCCACCCCCAAAAACCCTGCACCCCCCAAAATTTACACCCCTACTATCACTGTGCCCCCCAAAAAAACCACCCTTGCACTGAACCCCTCCCCTGAATTTTGGGATAACCCCCTAATTTTGGGCCCCCTCTTGGCACTGACCCCCCAAAAAAATCAATACTGTGATTTAAGCAAAGCAATAGTTGGGGGAGGAAGGATTTGGGGTCCCAAACCCCTATGGGGGTTTGGGACCCCCAAATCCTTCCCCCAAAATCTGCCTGTGCCCCCTCTCGGCTTCACCCCAATAAATGACGAGGTTTGAGCTCCTTCTCTCATTTTTCTGGGGGTTTAAAGGGTGAGGGGGTCTTAAGAGGTTTTAGGGGTCCCAGTGTGGGTTTTTTGGGGGTCCATGTCCCAAAAACCCCCAACCTATCCTGGTGGAGGAACAAAACGAGGTCCAGTCCGAGTTCTGGGGGCACAGATTGGGGTTTTTTTTTGGGGGTCCAGGGGTTTGAGGGTTCAGGGGGTCCAGGGGGTTTGGGGTCCAGGGGGTTCAGGGTGCCCCCTAACGCAGCAAGGACCACTTGATCTGCTCCTTCGCCGACTGCAGCACCTGGGGAGGGGTCCAGGGGGGGTTAAAAGGGTGAGGGGGGGGCACCCATGGGTGGGTTGGGGGTACCCAGGTGGCATTTGGGGATATCTGGGGGATCTCGGGGTGTCATGAGGGTCCCAGGAGGTCCCAGGGGGTCCTGAGGGGTCCCAGGAGGTCCCAGGGGGTCTCTGGGGGTCCCAGGAGGGTCCTGGGAGGGTATTGGGGGTCTCAAAGATCCCATGGGGGTCTTGAGGCGGGGGGAAGTCCTGAGGTGGTCCCAGGGGGTCTCAGGGGGGGTCCCAGGTGGTCCCAGGGTGGTCCCAGGAGGTCCCAGTGGGTCCTGAGTGGTCCCAGGGGGGTCTCAGGGGGGGTCCCTGGATGATCCCAGGAGGTCCTGGGTGGTCCCAGGGGGGTCCCAGGGGATCCTGGAGGGTCTCAGGGTGGTCCCAGGGGGGTCTCAGGGTGGTCCCAGGGGGTCCCAGGGTGCCCAGGGTGGTCCCAGGGGGGTCTCAGGTGGTCCCAGGGTGGTCCCAGGGGTTCCCAGGGTGGTCCCAGGGGGTTCCCAGGGTGGTCCCAGGGTGCCCAGGGTGGTCCCAGGGTGCCCAGGGTGGTCCCAGGGGTCCCAGGGTGGTCCCAGGGTGGTCCCAGGGGGTCCCAGGGGGTCCCCAGGCCGTACCTGTGACACGGTCTGCTCGGTGAGCGGCACGTCCTCGCCCTGGCACACAATTTGGGGAGGGGTCTGTGGGTGCCTGAGGGGACCCATCGCCCCCCACCACACCCCCCCAGAGCCCTCCAACCCCCCAACCCCAAAACAACCCCCAAACCCCCAAACCCCCAGCCCAGCCCCCTTACCCTCACGGCCACGCGGTGCACGACGTGCTGGGGTCGCTCTCCAGGATCACCCTGAGGGGGGACACCAGAGACCCCTCAGAACCCCTGACAGAGACCTCCCATCACAGGGGATCCTCAAACACAGGGAGACTCCCCAATGAGAGGGACCCACCCCCACCCAAGAGAAAGGACTGCCCAAAATGTGGGGACACCCAAATGGGGACATCCCCTTAAAATATGGGGACACCCCTTGAAGGAACCCTCCTGGACAAAGGACCCCCAGAACGTGGGGACACCCCAAAAGGACCCCCTGGACAAAGGACCCTTCCCCCAAAATATGAGGACACCCCAACAGGAACAACCCCCAGATAAGGGACAAGGGACCCCCAAAAGGGACCCCTCAAACAGGGTCCCCCTAAGATAAGGGACCCTCAACAGGACCCCCAAAATATGGTGAGACCCCCTTAAAAGGACCCCCTGGACAAAGAACCCCCAAAAACACAGGGACCTCCCACGGGGACCCTCCACGACAGGGACCCCACCCAGGTGCTCCCCCAAAATTCCACCCTTTAAAGTGACCCCTGGGGTGTCCCAGTGTCCCCCAGGGGTGTTCCAGCCCCTGGGGTCCCTAAGCCCACTCTGAGGGTCCCCAAGCCCACCCTGGGGTCCCTAAACCCCTGGGGTCCCCAAGCCCACCCCCCGTCCACGATCTCGTCCACGGCCAGGAACAGCCCCTCCATGTTGTCCAGCAGGGCTCGTTTCTCCACGTTCTTCCTGCGTTTTGGGGGTCCTCTCAGCACCTGGGACCCCCGGGAGGAGAGGACACCCCCCTAAGAGGGGGACACCCCCAGGAGGAGGGGACACCCCCACAAGAGGGACCCACCCTTGGGTAAAGGACCCCCCCCATCCAGCCCCAAGGACAAGGGGGTACCCCAATAAGGACCCCCCAATGACAGGGACCCCCAAATGAGAGGGATCCCCCAACAGGACCCCCAAATGAGAGGGACCCCCAAATGAGAGGGATCCCCCAATGACAGGGACACTCCCACAAAGGGATCCTCCCCAACAAGGGACCCCCAAGTAACCCCCAAAACCCACCCTGTACCCCCTGGGTGCCCCCTCAGACCCCCAAGGTGCTCCCCTGGCCCCCAGGGGTGTCCCCAGCCCCTCAAGTGACCCCCTAGACCCCCCAGACCCCCAGACCCCCAAGACCCCCCAGACCCCCAGTACCGCAGCATTTGGCTGAGGGAGTCGAAGAGGCAGTTGAGGACAGCGGTGAGCATGAGCTGGCACAGGGACAGGGACACAGGGGGGCACAGGGGGCACAGGGGGCACAGGGGGCAGGGGGGCACAGGGGGCACAGGGGGCACGGGGGGCACAGGGGCACAGGGGGCACAGGGGGGCACACAGGGACAGAGGGGACACGGGGGGACAGGGATGGGCAGAAGGACAAGGACACAAGTGGAGAGGGACAGGGACAAGGGGACAGAGGGACAGGTCACAGGGGGACAGGGTCACAGGTCCCCCTGTCCTTCCCTGTCCCTCCCTGTCCCCCATTATCCCCTCCTGTCCCCCAAAGTCCCCTCCTGTCCCTCCCTGTCCCCCAAAGTCCCCTCCTGTCCCTCCCTGTCCCCTCCTGTTCTTCCTGTCCCCCCTGTCCCTCCATTATCCCCTCCTGTCCCTCCCTGTCCCCCAATGTCTCCCCTGTCCCTTCCTGTCCCCTCCTGTCCCTCCCTGTCCCCCCCTTGTCCCCACATCCCCTCCTGTCCCTCCCTGTCCCCCCTATTGTCCCCATTGTCCTCCCCTGTCCCCCAATGTCTCCCCTGTCCCTCCCTGTCCCTCCTGTCCCCCATTATCCCCTCCTGTCCCCCAAAGTCCCCTCCTGTCCCCCATTGTCCCTCCCTGTCCCCCCTGTCCCCACATCCCTCCTGTCCCTCCCTGTCCCCCATTGTCCCCCCTTGTCCCCATTATCCCCTCCTGTCCCTCCCTGTCCCTCCTGTCCCCCATTATCCCCTCCTGTCCCCCAAAGTCCCCTCCTGTCCCCCACTGTCCCCTCCTGTCCTTCCTGTCCCCTCCTGTCCCTCCCTGTCCCCTCCTGTCCCCCCCTTGTCCCCACATCCCCTCCTGTCCCCCCAATGTCCCCAATACTCCCTCTCTGTCCCCTCCTGTCCCTCCCTGTCCCCAATGTCCCCCCAATGTCCCCCCATTGTCCCCCATGTCCCCCCGTGCCCTCACCTCGTTCTGGTGGGCGCTGCCGATGACGTAGCAGTAGAGGTCGATGCTGCTCTTGTAGACGACAGTGAGCCCCTCCAGGAGGGCAATCTCGCCTGGGGGGACACCCTGTCACCCCCTTGGGGACACCTGGGGACACCCCTGTGCCCCCTGTCCCCCCTGCCCCTCCCACCCCCTCCTCGGTCACCACCCCCGAGCCCCTCAGGAGGGCGATCCCATCTGAGGGCACATTGTCACCCCCTTGGGGACACTTGGGGTGGCCCTGGGGACACCCTGAAGCCACCTGGGTCCCCCCTGTCCCCCCCTGTCCCCCTGTCACCCACTGTCACTGCGGTGGGTCTTGCTGAAGATGTTCTTCTCGAAGCTCCTCTGCTCCTTCACGCTGGGGTAGGAGGTGTCATCGTAGTACTGGGGGACATCAGGGACGTTGGGGACATTGGGGACATTGGGGTGTCCCCCCTGCTGTCCCCCCCTCATGCCCCCGGGTGCCCCCCGACCTTGGCAAAGAGGCGCTCGCCGTCGTTGTCCAGGATGATGATGGCCTTGACCGTGTACAGGGAGGGCTCCTGAGGGGACAGGGAGGGGGTCAGCGGTGCCACCACCCCTGTCCTGTGTCCCCCTGTCCCTGTCCCCGTGTCCCCCCGTGTCCCCCCCGTGTCCCGCCGCTCTGGAGCCCCCAGGACCAAGTTCTGTGATGCACTGACTGACCACGGACCACAGCGAGTGTAGGACAGAACCCCGGCCTGGGGACACCCTGGGGACATTCTGGGGACACCCTGGGGACACTCCATGCCCTCGGTCCCCCCCCCAGCCCCATCCCCTTTAACCCCACCGTTCCCCTCCCAGTTCCCCCCATTGCACCCCGTTCCCTCCCATTTTACCCCCCAGTCCCTCCCAATACCTTCAGTCCCCCCATTCCGGCCCCGTTACCCCCAATTTAACCCCAATTTACCCTCCCAGTGCCCCCCAGTTCCGGCCCCGTTACTCCCGATTTACCCCTCCCCATTCCGGCCCCAGCACGCCCTGTTTTACCCTCCCAGTCCCCCATTCCCTGCCATTCCCCCATTCTGGCCCCATTACCCCCAATTTACTCATCTCCCCATTTCCCCCTGTTCCCCCTCCCCTCACCAGCAGCAGCGTCTCCATTTTGCTCCCTGCGCTGCCGACGTGGAGCCGGAAGCGCACCCGCCTCTGATTGGCTGCGCGCCTGCCAATCACCGCTCTTAGCTCCGCCCCTCCATTCTTATTGGTCCAATCAGGACTGCTTCTCGCCAATCGCCGCGCGCTTCCACGCGGAAGGCGGGCCGCGCTTTCCCGCTCTTCCTCTGATTGGAGGAACGGCCCGTCCGTCACCGCCCGGCCACGCCCCCAGAAAGGGAGGGAGCCGCGCGGTTGCCATGGAGACCGGGGAAGCGATTACGTCACCCCTTTGCCGAGGCCGCGCTGTGATTGGCTGAGACCTCGGCCACGTGACGGGGACAGTCGGCTCATTTGCATGCGGTGGACACTCCCCCGGGTGGGCGGAGCCTCTGGTGGCGTTTGGGGACATCTGAGGACACGTTGGGGGGATTGGGGACATTGGGGACAGTGAGGGCGTGGGGGCGGTGCCAGGGCCACCCCCGGGTCCCCTTTGTCACCGCCTGTCCCCTCCCCTCCCGCGGAAGCCACCAGCGGTTGCCCAATTTGTCACCTCCCCCTCCCCGCCGGGCGCTATCGGAGGGGACCAGGACATCCGGGTGGCACTGCCACCCCCCCAATCCCCCAGCGGCATTGTCACCTCCCCAGCGACACTGCCACCCCCACTGGTGGCACTGCCACACCCCCACTGGTGGCACTGCCACACCCCCCTGGGGGCACTGCCACACCCCCCTGGGGGCACTGCCACCCCCCTGGTCCTGGTGTGTCCCCTGCGATGTCCCCCATCCCCCCAACCCTGTCTCCCTTTCCTGTCCCCGTGTCCCCAGCTCTGTCCCCCTGTCACATCCCCACCCCCGTCTCTGTGTCCCCTCCCCATCCCCCCTGCGGTTTCTGTCCCCCTTCCTCCTCCGCTGTCGCCAGGGTGTCCCCAGGGTGGCCCCATCCCTGTCCCCATGGTGTCCCCGTGGTGTCCCCGTGGTGTCCCCAAGTGCGACCCAGGCGTGTCCTGGCACAGGTGTGTGACAGGGGGTGATAGGGAGGGGCACACGTGTGATGGGCACGGGGAGGGGGTTGGGTTGGCACACGCGTGTGAGTGCCCGGGGTAGGGGGGTCGATGCCCAGGGGGTGGCAGGGCAGGAGCACACGGGGGTGTTTGGGGGGGTGTGTGTGTCACACACGTGTCTCTGTGTGTGTATCTGTGTCACACACGTGTATCTGTGTGTGTCTGTGTGTGTCACACATGTCTGTGTGTGTATCTGTGTGTGTCACACTCGTGTCTGAGCCCACACGTGTTCCGTGTTCCCGGTTTCCGTGTGGGGGCCCCAGGACGGGAAGAGGCGGAAGCGGCTCCAACGGCTGCGGGGGGGAAAGGGGGGGGACCCTCAGCCCCACAGGGCCCTCGGTTGTGTTATTGGAGGGTCGTTATTGTTGTTGTGGGGTCGTTATTGTAGTTATTGTGGGGTGATTGTTGTTGTTGTAGGGTCGTTGTTGTGGGGTCGTTATCGTTGTTATTGTGGGGTCGTTGTTGTTGGGGTTGTTGTTGTGGGGTCGTTGTTTTTGTTGGGTTGTTACTGTTGTAGGGTCGTTGTTGTGGGGTCGTTACTGTTGTGGGGTCGTTACTGTTGCTATTGTGGGGTGGTGGTTGTTATTGTGGGGTGGTCACTGTTTTTGTAGGGTCGTTGTCGTGGGCTTGTTGTTACTGTAGGGTCGTTACTGTTGTCATTGTGGGGTCGTTGTTGTTAATTTTGGGGTCGTTGCTGTTATTGTAGGGTCGTTATTGTTGTTGAAGGGTCGTTATTGATGGGGGCGATCTGGGGGCGTGAGAGGGGGCAGTGGGGAGGTGACAAGGGTGACACGGGGGGGTGACACAGGGGGATGACAAGGGTGACAATAGGGGGGTGACAGGAGGTGACACAGGGGGTGACACAGACGGGTGACAGGAGGTGACACGGGGTGTGTCCCCCCCATCCCGGGCAGGTCCCGTCGGTTGCTCCTTGTGCAACATCCCCTGAATTGGGCAACGACTGGGGGAGTTTGGGGGAGCAGGACCCACCCGGGGGCACTCGAGGGTGGGGACTACCCCCTGAGTCAGGGTGTCCCCCTCCCCCAAGGTGGGCGGTGACCCCCAAATTTTGGGGTTTCAGGAGGAGGAGACGTCGCAGCTCCGGCCATGGGGACCCCAGGTGAGGGGAAGGGGGTCCAGGAAGGGGGTGGGGAGGGAAATGGAGGGGTTTGGGGGGTGGGAATTGGGGGATCTGGGGGGTAGGGGGTCATGGGGAGAGGGGTGTGGATGGGAGGGATAAAGAGGGTTTTGGAGGGTCCTGGGGAGGTGTTTGGGGGCAGAGGGAGGGATGGGGGAGTTTAGGGTGGGTTTTGGGGGTCCTGGGGGGTTTTGGAGGGGAAAGGGTCTGGGGGGAGGGGGGGTTGAGAGGGTTTTTTAGGGGGGTCCCAGGGGGTGTTTGGAGGGGGAAATTGGGGGTACAAAAGGGGGCGGGGCCAGAACCTCTCCCACAGCCAATCCGAGGCTCCCGCAGGCACTGAGTGGGCGTGGCCCGGGTGTGGCCCCGCCCCCCGCCGAGGTGGAGGTCACGTGGCAGGAGATCCTGGCCCTGAGCGAGCTCCAGGTGAGACACGCCCACCTTGGCCACGCCCACTGCGACCACACCCTCCTTCCCTAGGCCACGCCCCCAGCCGCGGGCTCTTAGCGCCCCCTGGTGGCCTCAGCACCCCCCACATCCCAATCATCCCCCCAAAATATCCCCGGGGACCCCCCCCTTGCACCCCCAGGGGACCCCCATTGTGCCCATCCCCCTCTCTCCCCCCAGGGCCTGGACGTCCCCTCGGACCCCGGGGACCCTCCCCATTTTACCCTCCCCGTGCCCCCTTTCCCCCTGTGCCCCCATTTCCCCCTCCTTTCCCTCTGCCCCTTCCCCGCCCCTTCCCAGCACCACAGCGAGGACAGCGCAGGTGGCACCGGTGGCCCTGGCACTGCCATCGTGGACCTGCAGCACCACCGTGACAACGGTGACAGCGGTGACACCGGTGACACCAGAGGTGGCACTGGTGGCACTGAGTGGCACCGGGCGCTGTCCATGAGCCCTGAGGGCATCGTGGATCCCTGCAGCACCCCCACTGCGGTGACAACGGTGGCACTGGTGGCCCTGCCTGGCATCGGGCACCCACCCTGGCACCCCAGGCCACGGTGACCCCGCAGCACCCCCACGGCGGCGACAACAGCGGAGGTGACACCAGCGATACCGGGCGTGGCACCACCCTCACCGCCGCCCCCCTGAGCCGCGGGCGCCGCCACCCCCTGTCCCTGCCCCTGTCCTGCCCCTGGCGCCCGAGGCCATCGTGTCGCTGCCGGCCGAGGCCCTGCGTGCCGCGCTGTGCCGGGCGCGGGCGTCGGGCGCGCAGCGGGCGCTGTGCCGGGACATTCGGCGCCGCGGCAGGAACAAGGCGGCCGCCCAGCGCTGCCGCCGCCGCCGCCTCGAGGCCCTGGCGCGGCTCAGGGCGGAGCTGGCGCTGCTCAGGGCGGAGCTGGCGCGGCTGGGCACCGAGAGGGAGCGGCTGCTGAGCGCGCTGGGCACCCTGAGGGGGCGGCTGGGGGCGATGGGGGGCACGGGAGGGGACGGCCGGGAGGTGTTGGGGACGCTGAGGGATGGGGACACGCAGGGGGAGATGGGCAGTGCCACCCACCAGGTGCTGGGGGATGGGGGCACGCAGGGGGAGCTGGCACGGGTCACCCAGGGGGTGTTGGGGACACTCGGGGACAGACACACACTCAGTGTCACCTCCCAGGTGCAGGGGACACTCGGGGACAGACACACACTCAGTGTCACCTCCCAGGTGTTGGGGACACTCAGGGACAGGGATGGGACCCCACAGGTCACACAGCACGCCCTGGGAGCTCTGACAGATGGGGACACGCACGAGGACCTGGGGAGTGTCACCTCCCGGGTCCTGGGGGCACTCAGGGATGGGGACACGCACAGTGTCACCTCCCAGGTGCTGGTGGCACTTGGGGACAGCACCCCAAGCGGGGACCTGGGCGGTGTCACCCTCCAGGTGTTGGGGACACTCGGGGACGTGACCCTGGTGTCCCCCCAGAGCTCCGGGCTGGGGGAGTGAGGGGGGCCTTGGGTGTCCCCCCCTGCACTCCCAGCCCTGCCCTGGCTGTGGGGACACCCTGGGGACACCCCGTCACGGACACCCCTGCAAACAGACAATAAACCTGCTCCAAAGCCACCTCCTGTCTCTGTCCCCCTGGGGTGACACATTCCTGCCACCTCCAACCTCCTCTGTCCCCTCAGGGCAAGGAGCTGTCCCCACTCTGTCACCTCCCTCAGCCCCAATGACATATCCCAGTCACCCTGGGGCACTGCCAGCCTATCCCTGTCACTTCCTGTCCCTGTCACCTCCTGTGTCCCCTCCAGGTGACACGTGGCCCTCTGGGGTCCCCAACACCGTGTCCCCCATCCCAGGCAGCCTCTTCCCACCTTCTCCCTGCTTTGTCCCCATCCTTTGTCCCCTCCATCCCTGTCCCTTTTATGTCCCCCATTCCCCCTCCTGTCCCACTGCCATCATGTCCCCTCAGGCCCATCTGTCCCCAACCCCATCCTGTCCCTTCTGTGGCAGCTCCATCCTCTTAATCCTTGTCCCTGTCCCCTCCTTGTCCCCATCCTGTCCCTCTACTCCATCCCTGTCCCCTCCTGTCCCTTCTGTGGCTGCTCCATCCCTGTCCCCATCCCATCCCTGTCCCCATCCCCTCCTGTCCCCATCCCTGTCCCCACACACGGGACACAGGTACAAAAATACCCTTTTATTGAGGGCACCGGGGGGGGGTCCCGCGGGCACTGGGGGGGGGCTGGGACAGCTCAGGGGTTTTGGGGGGGGATGGCCCTGCCCTGGGAGGGGGTGTCCCCATGTCCCCCGTGTCCCCTCCATGTCCCCCCCTGTGTGTTTGTGACCCCCCCCTCACCTCCGCGGGCTCCAATCCCGGTGCCGGCGGCTCCTACAAAAGGGAAGGTGGGAATTAGTGGGGATTGAGGGGGGGGGGCAAAGCCTTGGG